TCTTTTGCCCTCGACTTTCCCTTGCACCACCAACCGCTCAATGGAGTACTGTCACTGTACATGTCACTTTATTAAAGACATAAGTGACATATGAAGTTTAATTTTGCATTTCCTTTCAACAAACTATGTTAACAACTGCGATAGTCGTGCGTCGACGATTGCACACATGTAATACCCGCAGTGAATTGTTTCAATTAACGCGACCGCCAACCCAAAAAGCAATTTCTATTACAACACGCTGGATACGCAACATTTCGTCGGAAATTAAACGTTCCGGTTCGATTCTGACTAAACGTCGAACAATCGGTAGAGCGTCTATTTATTTAATATACAATGTACCAATTATTACTTTTATTCACTATTTGTTACCACAAACTATGTCAGTGGTCCTATAGGTAAGGGGCTCTATCTGCTCACCACAGTGATGCCATTATACAGTACCGAATTTTTGACGTGACAACGTCTTATAATTCGATGGAGCCGGCTGCACGCACAAAAAAACATGACTCATGCGGCGTTACCTCGCTCTGAGGCGTTCCATTTAAGGCTTGCAGTGCAAGCGAGAGCGCGCAAGGAGCGACAAAAAGGCACATTGTAAAAAAAAATTGACATAATTGTATGTATGCGTACAAATAAATGTAACTTGATCAATTCAATAGTGATTTCCATTTACCTCCTTCTCTATATTCATACAAAATATCTACAAACAAATAAAATTAAAATTTTCTTTTGAAAAATGAAACCATTCCTTCAGTATTTTCTTATGACGTTGTCACGTTCAACTATCGTCAGTAAACCGACTTTACAGATAACCGATTTTTTTTATTGCTTAGATAGGTGAACCAGCTCACAGCCCACCTGGTGTTAAGTAGTTACTGGAGCCCATAGACATCTACAACGTAAATACGCCACCCACCTTGAGATATAAGTTCTAAGGTCTCAAGTATAGTTACAACGGCTGCCCCACCCTTTAAGCCGAAACGTATTGCTGTTTCACCTACCTACCTACCCGTGCGGACTCACAAGAGGTCCTTCTACCAAGTAATAGACAAACATGCTTATTTTCTCTTTTTAACTAGTAAAAATTGTGGTACGAATTTGTTTAAGAATAATTTACTCAATATATTCTTAGCACGATTTTTAGTTTTAATGAGTTCCAGGTACTTCATGATCATGATCTCAGATAAAGCGAAGACTACGGGTAGGATGTCAGGAGCAGACAAATGTATCTACCCTCTTTCTAATTCGATTTTGAGTACTAACGTACAAACTCGACTATAAACCCCCACAATCCACACTTACGGTATAGAAAGTGTTTTCAGGACACTTTGAGAACGCATAACATTTTACTAAAAAGAATACTAATAATATTTTTTTTTATTGCTTAGGTGGTTGGACGAGCTCACAGCCCACCTGGTGTTAAGTGGTCACTGGAGCCCATAAACATCTACGACGTAAATGCGCCACCCACCTTGAGATACAAGTTCTAAGGTCTCAGTATAGTTACAACGGCTGCCCCACCCTTCAAACCGAAACGCATTACTGCTTCACGGCAGAAAAAGGCAGGGTGGTGGTACCTACCCGTGCGGACTCACAAGAGGTCCTACCACCAGTGGTAAACCACCACTCTGGATTTTTTTTTAATCTTCGTTTATTACAATTGCTTTTCGTAATTATTGGTGCGTATATTAGGATTTTCTTGCTGCTTTAATTCTTAATGCGTACCAGGCTAATACAGCCACTGGTAATATATAACAACCAATGTAAATGAGGTAATTGATCGTAATACTTATACAAGATTTACCAGGACTATATCACAGTTGTTACGACAATTTATATACTATGACACGCGAATTGTTGGCTCACCTGGTGCTCACTGGTAGGAACTAGAGTCCATAGACATCAATAATTGAGTTAACTTTAATAGAGATTAAGGTTGGTTCTTATCTAGCACCTGGTAGTCCGTGGACCACGAAAACCTTAAAGTATTCAAAATGTCAGAAAAAATATAATGAAAATAAAAATCGTGATATTGAATTTATTTAATCTAGGCCACCTCATCTACATCTAGATCTAATCTACCTCAAGCCATCCAAGTTCGTACGAATAACATAGGACATTACCCAAGTGGCACAGCGGCACACCTAACTGACCGACTTGAGTATCGATTGTGGTATTATCTATACCTAACACATTCCAACACAGCTCGACTGCAATCAGTGTGGTCATATTATTACAAAATTACATTGAGATTTAGCTCAGTGATTTTATTTTGTTGAAGAGTATTAAACGATAAGCAGTGACTTGGCTCTCCCCCTGGCATTGCTGACGTCCATGAGTTACGGTAACCACTCATCACCAGGTGGGCCGTGTGCTCGTCTTCCAAGACGAGTAATAAAAAAAAATTTGTTCGCCGGGACTAAGTACATAACAATGTGAAATTGGCCCCTCAGCTTGAGACATTAGATCAAGTAGAGCTACGTCACTACTGTTCCACCTTTTGAAACCTGGAATCATGGTAGCAGCATAGCAGAAATAAGCAAGATTATGGCACATATCCTCCAAGCTCACAACATGTTATAATATATACTACACACCTACCATAAGGCATCTACCATACCTATCATATCAACTGTCTACGCTATCGGTATGTCTGTTATCGAGTATTTTGAGTACGGTCTAATTATGTTATCTTTACCATTAAATATCTTAATCCTGTTTCTACCAAGCCACGAAGTATAAGTTAACCCACTGAGTACTGTTACACTGTTGCCAATACTGTGTGTTTTGTTTCACTTCAATAAATACATACATATTGATATTTCTACGGGTAGTTTAGGCCTGCACGGATAAATACCGGTATCTTTCATATTCCTGCTCTGAATCTGCCATTTGTTCGGGCTTGAAGAGTGGGACAGCAGTAACATAATTCCATTTGAGACTTTAACCCGGGGTTTCAAGGTGTATGACGTCATCTATATTGAGTTTTCAATGGAATTTGGTAACCATTTAACGCTAGAAGGAACTTGAGTCGTACATCCACAAATCCAGCCCAATAATAATACATAGTATGCAAGAGGAAGTTTAGAAGCTGTATATTTTATTTAAGAAGATGGACAGGCCAACTCATCCCTTACGCAGGCTGCCATCTTGAGACTAGCGATAGAATGTATTCCTCACACCTATATTAGTTCCCTATCCACTGTGACATATCGTTATTTAAGCGAGATGTTAAAAAGACTACTGTATAACAATTAATAATAATAATAACTGGGAACAAACCACCCACGGCCATTCGGCCCCAAATTATGATTCCCTGTGTTATGGGTACCAGACACTGGCATTTCAACCCACTGAGTTTCACGCCGGATCATCTCAGTGGGTCGCGATTCCGATCCGATGGTTGATCTGCTAAGCGCTACTCTTGCTAAGGCTAGTGTTAGCAAATTCTCTCAGGATGAGCCTGTGAGCTCATATAACCGTCCTGACGTAGCTGAAATAGCTTCACGGGCTACTAGCGAAAGCGTAAGAAAAGAAACTGACATTTTACTTTTATACGTTTAAATAATTTAATACTTAAATAGAAAATGAACAGATTAAGACGACTTTGGAATCCAGCATCAATGTCGCTATCCACTGCGCGGAGGACAGGAGTGAATGGAGGAACATAGTCCTAACAAAAGTGCTCAGTAAAGGTCACGACCCTCAGAACTGAGGAATACGACGCACGGAGGAGGAGAAAATGAACAAAGAGAAAAGAAACCTGGTCATCACACGAATGTTAGCCCGATGCGGGAATCAAACCCATAACCCTCGGCGTAACAGTCCGAGCCGCTAACTACTTCATCACCGAGTAACTCTAGGCAGGGAAAAAAAATCGTTCGCAGCAGCTTGGCCGGGCTGATGCGACTTACTTCAAAGGCAATGAACAATTTACTTTATCGCAATATACAATATTTTTTAATATCTAAAAATCCGGAGCTAACTCCAAGACCGGCGGAACAGTGGGTTCATTACCCGTTCATTTTAAAAACAGATTTGATATAAATCATTCATTTTACACTTGTTTGTAGAGTGATACGCACTCGCAATAGTAAAATCACTGCGTTAGATCACGAACGATTGGTATTTTAAATTTACAATAACAAAATCCCATCTTCAATTCGCGTACACAGGATAACGGCCTCTATGACGAGCTTAAAGTGTCTATGTTTGTGGATTTAAAATCGGCACATGTATCTTTTTGTTATGAACACCATTCGGTGCTGCGTGCAGTGAAACGTATCCCAACGTTCTAGAAAACTCAGTCATTCCTCAGTGAGTATTCGCTGGTATGAGAGAATTAAAAAATATATTTTTGCTATTTAATAACATTAAATAGAAAAAGGCTAAATATTTCCAAGCTATCTCCACATCCCCAAATTTTTTTTTCGATTAAGTTAAAATTTTTGCAATACTTGTTGGTATTTTAGCTTATGGTTTGTCGAAGAGATCGGTGATCGGGGGCGCTGTGGGGTTGGTGCCACAATTTCGCAGTTCTGCCCCGAAGCAGTCGCATTGCGGATTGAAGGGTGGAATTGTTGTTATTCCACTATACAAGAGAATTCAACCAAATTTCTCATGCCGGGTGGTGACATACAGGTTGTGCAGTTGATGACTTGCGCATACCACTTAATGTCAGAGAGACCATGAGTTGGTCACCCCACCACTCAGAACGAATCATGGCCGAATTCCACAATAAAAAAATTAAGAATGCTTTCAACATAATTACTAGATAGTTAATTACTTTCAAAGCAATTAGTTATACTTAAACTATTAATTCTATTAAATAATGAAGCAGTATTTTGGTAATCACATATCATTATATTATCTTCTCTAATTGTAAATGAAACTTTAATGTTTGTGTTGTGATAATTATTCCCGATCTCCTCTTACGTGAGTAGCGTAGAGCAGTATCGGGGCGCAGTCGTCAGTCGGCCGCGAGACCGCGCGCGCGCACCATGGCCTCCCCCGACCCCCCGCTGCCCACCCACTATATTCAGATCCTGGAGCCCGCCCAGGAACCGACGGGCACTCTTCGCGACCGCCTCAACCAATTAAGTGCATGTGAAATTAATACTAAAGTGACTTACGACGTGTGCTCGGTGTTGTCCCCGCCAAGGAATAAGATCCTGGAGCTTCTACGTCCTGAAGACCCGGGTCGGGATGCGCTAGAGGCCATCGTGAGACCCATACCCCGGCGCGGCCTCACCCGGCCTCTGGATGAAGACACGAAACGGTTCCTGCATAGAGCACTGCAACCGCCCAGCACTTATAGACCGGAGACTACGAAACAAGAGCCTAAAGTTGAAACGAAAACTTGCGATTCGAACGCTGAACGATCTCTCGCCGAAGAACTGAGAGAAGCAGAAGAAGATGTAGGTAAAGAACGGAAACACTGGTTACGCGACTTCAGGAAACGCGGTGAAAGTTTCCGTGGAGCCGCAGAAAGAGAACAAATGGGAAAGTTGGCTTTGTCAGTGGAAGATGATGAAGAGGAAGACGGGCTGTCTGCTGCCGCTAGGAAAATCGACGCATTACTGGCTGAGTCGCGGGAACTGCACGAGGAGTTAGCGGGGATCCATGAAGACCTGCAGGTGCTGGCCAGGCGCGTGGCACGCCGCGACGCGCTGTGATGCGTTGGTACCGTTGCTCGGACACACGCTTCGGGATCACCGCTTTAATATTTCTTACTCCTAGCACTTCCACTAGTAAAGTAATGCACTATAAACACACTAAACAATACATGAAACATTTCGAATTTTGAGAGCCGATGATTCCGGGATAAACCGGTAGCAAGCAACGCCAGATTCACAACAATATCTCTACTGACTTATCATAAAATACACTTCGAAACATTTCTTCTCAACAACCAAACTTAAAATAATGATGTAACATCTCAGTTATCAATGCATATAAATCTTATCTTTTGTTCAAATAACGGGAAAATCTCTCTTCGTCATGATCATAAATTAGCTTGATTGTATTCTTAATAATGGATTCAACTTAATACTATTACTGGAAATAATTTTCACTATTTCTTATTATATATAATACGTTCAAGATGAGGAGTACAGGAGTGGATAGAGCTGGTTCCAGCAGTGGGCGTCTATCGGCTGATAATTAAAGTAGTGTTCGCGATGTGATCGAACGCAACCATATCCCCTGACAACTCAAAATTAAGCTTCCCTTGATTCATTATTTTTCAAATTCCGTTTTACTTGATTGAAATTTAGTAAAAAAATACAACTACAATTTCCAATTTCTTGTAAATTTTATGATAACACAAAGGCTCGCTATATACATACCTAATAAACTAAAAAAACAAAATCGATTGGCTAACATAGGAAAAAATGATACTTAACTTAATAAAGTGCTTAAAAATTGAATCTTAACAAAAGATATACACAGGTAATTCTAATTATAAGTTAAACTATTTTATTAAAAAGAGAGATTTTCAGAAAAGTAATGCATAATATGTATAAATGTGAACTTTCTAGAATGCACACCATATCGTGTAACGCCTCTTCAATTCTATTGGAGTTCATTAACGTATTTAAATGACACATTTATTTCAAATTGATAATTATTTTTATACCTAGAGCAAATCAATCATAAAACATAAATGTTATCCACCTGTGAAATAGACCAGTTTTTTATTAACTGGCAAATCGAATTCAGGGCGTTTTTTTTTTTATTGCCCTTTTAGGCAGACAAACGAGCATACGGCCCACCTGATGGTGAGTGGTTACCGTCGCCCATGGACTTCAGCAATGCCAGGGGCAGAGCCAAGCAAGTAAGAGCAAGCCGCTGCCTACCGCTTAATACTCTCCACAAGCCTCGTTTGAAGAAGGACATGTCATAGCGCTCCGGAAACACCGTGGAGGGGAGCTCATTCCATAGCCGGATGGTACGTGGCAAAAAAGATCTCTGGAAACGCACTGTGGATGACCGCAGTGGCTCCAGGTAGTATGGATGAACTCTACTCCGGTGGCGGGCGGTGCGATGGTAAAAACGAGATGCCGGTATCATCTCGAACAATTCCTCAGAGCATTCCCCATGGACCATACGGTACAAAATACAGAGGGAACCGAAGTCCCTCCGCAGATCCAGAGGTTCCAAAAATAGCGTAGCTGATGTTAAATAGTTAAAGAAGCCCATAGACATCACGACGTAAACCCACTCGCGCAGCGTGACTCGGTCATTGTTGTGTGCCAATAAATAACGCTAAACGCCTACACTGCAGAAACAATCATAACTTTGGTACCTAACCTTACGCCCTACCACTGGTAACAAAATTGGCTCACGAGTACTCATTTTCAATAATCTATGAACTCAATTGTAGTTCCTTTAGAAAGTATTATTATTATTAATTCAGTGGAAAAAAAATTAAGCTCATAATATTATCAACTTCTAATCGATAATGACAATATAATTATTTGAATACTAAATTAATGCGCTCGTTACAGTATTCGTTATCTCGTCGATAACAGAGGTCGTTAAACGCAAACAAACAACAATGCAATCGTCTTTGGCGACGCACTATACGGCACGAGGAGAATTTGTCTCATTTTCATTAAAGGAATTCCAGACTGAAGAGATATTACGTATGATCGCTAGTGCGCATGATTTACCCAGTGGCGTGACGTATACCTATATACATATATATTGACATTCTTCTACTAATTTTCTTTATTGTTTAGATGTGTAGAACGAGCTCACAGCCCACCCAGTGTTAAGTGGTTACTGGAGCCCATAGACATCTACAACGTAAATGCGCCACCCATCTTGAGATAGTTCTAAGGTCTCGAGTATAGCTATAACGGCTGCCCCACCCTTCAAACCGAAACGCATTACTGCTTCACGGCAGAAATAGGCAACCTACCCGTGCGGACTGGCAAGAGGTCCTACCACCAGTGATTACGCAAATTATAATTTTGCGGGTTTGATTTCTATTACACGATTCCTTCACCGTGGAAGTCAATCGTGAACATTTGTTGAGTACGTATTTCATTAGAAAAATTGGTACCCGCCTGCGGGATTCGAACACCGGTGCATCGCTCAACACGAATGCACCGGACGTCTTATCCTTTAGGCCACGACGATCTGTGTGCTTAGTGCGAAGTTTTTAACGTTTTCGATAGTGTAAAAGTTAACTCAAATTTATATGCAGTTGGAACAGCGCCCCTAGCGGCAAACGTAGGAAAACGTTCCAACTCCATACAAATGTGAGTTAACTTTTACGCTATCGAGAACGTTAAAACACTCGCAGTAAGTACACTGGTGTCTTCGTGTGGTAGGCGCATTCAAATTGCAAGCACTCGTGTCGAACTCGTGTCCTCGCCAAACAGTAATCATGACAAAACTTTGTTTGACGAGTGTACCCGTTCCCTTGTGAATGGTTCGCTGACACTGCCAGTACTTGTCACTGTGCAGCTGGTAAAGTCTCCGAGATGAAAGTGATCCCTCCATCTCAAACAAATACTGACAATAACAATGACACAAACAAACCTACATATAAATACATCAATTATAATATTATCAGTTTCTTTTCAGGCAGAGCACTGATGGTGTTTTCGCTCAATAGACCAACGGTAGCTTTAATAAAATAAATATTTTTTGAAATACTCGTTAGCGCAATTCAGATTTTACTAAATCTCTCATGGCTCGGTGGGTTGACGGTCTGAATGCTATTATTGGGATCTTGTAACATTTAATCAAACATATCTTGACAATGTCATTAGCGTGATTCAAGCTTCTGTCAAATATCTCGTGTTCTATGATAACTACCCGCTACACACATTATCTTCGACGAGTCATACCGCCCCCCTTCTCCCTCCACTGTTTCTGGTACATTAGATAATATTATTCAAAACTTTCACTTGCACACCGCACTATATATAATGCACTAGTTAACACGATTTCAAGGTAATTAGACTTGGCATTTATTGGTTTTACGTAAACAATACTAGTTTCCTATATATAGATTAGTGGCGCATTGTTTAATGAGTAACACGGAATAACTGAATCATAGACAACGGACTGAAGATGAGTTTGTTTGTTTAAAGTTGATGATGTGTGGACATAACGCATATTCATATGTCCGAATCTCGTGAAAATATGCATCCGTCCAAAAGTATGTAATAACTCAACAGCACCAAGTTAGGATTCTTTAAATTCTCTAGATTTCTACGTGTTGTATGTATGTAGGTAATTATAACACACTATTGAGACAAGAAACGATGCTACTGGTGGTAGGACTACTTGTGAGTCCGCGCGGATAGGTACCACCGCCCTGCCTATTTCTGCCGTGAAGCAGTAATACGTTTCGGTTTGAAGGGTGGGGCAGCCGTTGTAACTATACTGAGACTTTAGGACTTGTATCTCAAGGTGGGTGGCGCGTCTACGTTGTAGATGTCTATGGGCTCCAGTAATCACTTAACACCAGGTGGCCTATGAGCTCGTCCACCCATCTAAGCAATAAAAACAAAAACAAAATACTACTGCGAACAAATAAAGTAAAACCGGATTTTAAATATGCATTAACCCTTCGACTGTACTTCGCGTAGGTCACCGGTGCCCTACGCGGTGCACTGAAGTAATTATGTCGATTTCTATTACTAAGCTTCTGGATCGCCTAACTTTGCCTTCTTTTGAATTATAGAGTTTTGAAGTGAAACTACTTTAGAATCGTGATTTCAAACTCGATGAAACGAAAAAATAAGTCCATAGAGACACAAACACATAAATGTATAGGATTCAGCCGGCGAGAGAATGAGATAGAACACATTAGACGTTCTCGGTCTCCTCTTTGTGCGATTCTTCATAGCATCCCCACTATCGTCTACTATACATTGTCCATATGTATGCTCCTGCGTAGTGGGATAGTCAGTATATCTATATCTTATTCATAAGCTTCACTTCTACCGTGTGTGACTTAAAGAGCGGAATTGTCGTTATTCCACTTTACACGAGATTTCAGCCAAATGTCTCATGCCGGGTGGTAGCATACAGGTTGCGCAATTAATGAGCTCCGCATACCACTTAATGTCAGAGAGACCATGAGCCGGTGACCCCACCACTTAAAACGAAACATGGACGAATTCCACAATTAAAAAAATAACACACACTTTTTTTTTTACTCCGGCCTTATATCTCATGTGATTTGCAAGAGGTTCTGTTGCAATAACCAGTGTTACCTCACAGGTGCAATCAGCGCGTGCGTGCCGCTGCGTGGCGGCTGCCCGCGCCTTGAACGACGAGTCCAGAGCTCTACGGTACCTGGACGATGTGGTCGCACTCCTCAAGGGTGATGTAGCCACCACCTTGAGGACCAGAGCCTGGCCCTTCGCTATAGGCAGGAGACAGCCTGATCGGAACTATATTATTTAAACAATGTTAGTAGCTAATGTAAGCTTATTTTGTAAAGACTGCCAAGAGGTAAGTCGCGAGTATTTACTCGAGCAGACCAGGTAGTGGTGGTGATACTCAGGTGCACCCAAGCAATAAAAGACTTGATGTTTGATGCTATTACTCGGTGGATTCTACATGCTCATGAAGAAATCATTCGATTACTATTTTTCAAACGTTAAATTCTCAACGGTTTGATTCGCATTATTGTTCAGATTCCAGCCAAGCACCATCACGATAGGCCGACATGTAAATTAAACTCTCTAGGAAATACAGACAGAAAGTCGGATGGTGGAAAAGAAATGTTTGAAATTACCTACCACTACATACCTATAATAATTTCGTTTCGATTTGGCATCGATGGATTCGACGTTAGGCTGTTTACTATTGTTGAATTAAAAAGTAAATAAAAAAAAATCCACTTACCATTTGGCTCTGGAATGAACTCCACTACACGGTGTTTGTAGTTTATAGATAGACTCTTTGAACGAGCTTCAAAGAGGCCTCAGTGGAAGATAAAAGCTCAAATGTACTCCGGACATTGTCAATGCCTATGGCTAATAATTAAAATTCACCGTCAGGTTATTCATTTGCTAGACACCTTTGAAGACAAAGTTTGATTCCTTCATCGTAGTATACCTCAACTTAGCTCAGCTTAGCTCATACTGAGCTCTAAATATATCTTACTCGAAGTATCTCAACGCCCCGCACGTCAAAGGATACCACGTCTCAAAATTCCTAAAATAAACAATGCTAAGATATTTCGTAATTGGATGTACATTTTTGCAAATACATTGTACCTATCCTCTTAATCCTCTCTTCGAATATCTAAATACATAAATACATCCTTGTAAGCTGTACCCAAAGCTTGTGACACGACCAGGAACCCTGTAATTACAAGATATAATAATATTTATTTTCTATAAGATAATCCTTAATTAATTTAATGTGTTAACTAAGTGCCTGTCTGTTTTTCCAAGAAGTATTTTAAAGGATTTAAAAAAAAACAAGAACTTGACAGCACAGCCCCGCTTTTTTTCTATTAACGAATTCTTCGCTTAATATAGAAGTTAGCAACAGCCACGAATCCTGTAGTTATTACACTAAAATCCAACACACATTTTTTTAAAGCTAATCATAAAATTCAAACAACATCAACACGTAACCTCAAATTAAACTTTTTTAACAACCGTACACGCTCGCTACCAATAATAACACAGACAAAAAATTAAGACAATTTAAATTAAATTATAGTTGGAAAAACAATGTGTTGCAAATCGAAATGAAAACAGATCGCTTCGCGTCCGATTATTAATGTGTCAAATTAAATTTACTAAATTATCTACTTCAATTCCGGGTCCGTATAAAAATCTTTTTAAGCTATTGCATAGCTTTTATCGCGGGCCTTGAGCGCGGCGACCGAATCATGAAATTCCGTAACGAAAAAAACCTAACACCCCTCACTCCGCCTACCATGTAGCTCGCGTTCAACACATTCACACGTTGCGCTTGTGTAGTGTTTGTGAATAAGCGCGTGGCGTGACGTCACACTGCATGCGCATCATGAGAAGTCTGCCCATATCTCTCTCGCGCGGTCTAGCTTATGAGTGTGAAGGGGACAGTTAACGTTCTGCTTTTATTAATGTTTAATTTAGCGTGGTCTTGTTTTATTATTGTTTTAATATGAAATTATCATTGCCTAATTATAATTGCATAAGTTGATAAAAAATGCTATGCAATAGCTTTACCGCGGCAGTTCCCGAGTGCCACACGTTTTTTTTCTATGTTTTACATTAAGTCGACGTAAATAATGAACAATTTTTATTGTGCCTTTTACAACCGTTTGAAATGAACTCTCGATCCGATGGTACACTGGACTTGAATCTTGCAACTAGATATGAACAATTCACCATACTAAATATTTTAGTAACATGGAATACTTAGCGGTCGAATGGAAGACAGAGAATAAGGATATGTAGAAATACTGATATGTAGAGCTTTTTTACTGGTGGTAGGACGTCTTGTGAGCCCGCACGGATAGGTACCACCGCCTTGGCTATCACTGCCGTGAAGCAGTAATGCGTTTCGGTTTGAAGGGTGGGGCAGCCGTTGTAATTATACTTAGAACTTATATCTCAAGGTGGGTGGCGCATTTACGTTGTAAATGTATATGGGCTCCAGTAACCACTTAACACCAGGTGGGTTGTGAGCTCGTCAAAAAGCTCAAGTCAAGAGATAGAAAAAAAAATAGAGTTTTCTCATTTTGTGGCAGGTGTAGTTTGCATTACGTTGTTTGGAAAACCCTTCCACGGAAGGAACAAAGGAGTACAAAGTAGTTTTTGTGATTTAAATTTCTGAAGGCTTAAGAGGCATTGATGAGTTAGCCCTCACCCCAACGTGAAGGCTTCCTCCACTGCCTTGAATAATTTAGCTAGTAACTGAAATGCAACCATTGTTTTTTACGTGAATGCGTTGGATGTGAAGCACATTGTGGAGCCAGGACGTGTGCGTGCTTCCTTTCTGGTTAAACATCCAACGATATACAATAGAAATTGAAACTTCAATGTGGTGTTGCAGGGTGGGTAGGAGGGACAATAGTGTTGTCCTACAACAAAATAAAAAGGTGTCTCTATTTTTTAAGCCTTCTGTAGTCGTTAATACATTTCATATCATGCACTTTAGCTGTACTAAATATTAAGTAATTGTAACTAAGCTATTTGATTCCAGGTCGTGCTGACCTGGGTGCGGTTGTTAGCTGGCCGGTAACGTCGAGACAACATTCAAGTCAACACACCAACATTATACTACAGTATAACATGGCCTTTTGACTATACACGATATAATATAAATTTTATAGCATAGTTAACACTTAGAACCAATGTGCTTAGTGCGAGTGCGAGTTTTTTAACTTCTCGATCACGTAAAAGTTAACTCAAATTTGTATGGAATTGGAACAGCGCCCCTAGCGGCAAACGTAAAAAACTCGCACTAACCGATCGAGGGAGAATGATTTAGCATTGAACGGGTTTTGAACTTATTATTGAAATACGGTGAATCTGGTAGCCGCATGTGAGTTCAAATGCCAACTTTTAGAGGAAACGCACAGTGATGGTCGCGTTCATGGATAGATTAATTGTCATCTTTTATAGTTAACGTTTGTTCGTTCAAAGCCTACACTAAGGCTTAAGAGGATTTCATAGAAAGGCATAAATAATCACCATTTTTTTCCCCAACACCAAAGTGATAATCGTCTTCCACACTTCCACCTCACACCACAAAGACAACAGGATATAGGTCTGCGCGAGTAAGTACCACCACCCTGCCTATTTTTGCCGTGAAGCAGTAATGCGTTTCGGTTTGAAGGGTGGGGCAACCGTTGTAGCTATACTGAGTCCTTAGAACTCATATCTCAAGGTGGGTGGCGCATTTACGTCGTAGATGTCTATGGGCTCCAGTAACCACTTAACGCCAGGTGGGCTGTGAGCTCGTCCACCCATCTAAGCAATAAAAAAAATCAACCTATTTGTGCCGCGAATCGAATCTTCCTTCAAAACTATTTATTTGGCCTCGATGGATTAACAACCTCACGGCCCTTCGGATGTTAAATGGTTATGGTTTATCGAGACCCACTTTGAGACATGAGGTCAAAGTCTCAACTGTATTTAATAACGGCTATTCCGCTGTATTGATGAGGATGGTGAAAAAGAAACCACGCATGACATTTATTTTTAATCCTCTTTTGTAATTACTTGTACTAGAGGTCCCGCAATAGTCGAAATTCGACTATAATTAATAAACTTGAATTGTAAGTTTGTACACTATTATGATTGTATTTTATACTTCTATAATCACAAATTTCGCCAAGACTACACTATAAAAAATATTAACAATGACAAACAATATTTAATCTATTCTCAATTTGACAACAGACGTCAAGAACAAAAGTTTGACAATAAATAGTATGCATGCGTGTGTGCGTCAAATACATGGTATGTAGTGTGTGTAATGTTTTCTTTATTGATTTAATGTATCTTTTATGCATTATTTTAAAAAAAAAATTGCATTGTGCACTTCTTCTCTATATTCTCTATAATTGTGGAAATTTTAATACTCCTCCGTCCGAGCAATTTTCGTAAAAAGGGATACAAAGTTTTTGCTTCACGTATTAATATATAGATAATGTAACCTTCAATGTGCTTTCCGCGTGTCATCTATACAGCACTCATGTAGATATAGCTTTGGTAGAACTGATTCAATGAATACTGTAAAATATAAATATTGTATACGCTATTCTTATTTGTAATTTCTTGAAACGGATCTCTCAGAATCTTTAAGGTTAGTGATTGTTTTAAGTACGTGTTAAATTTATATTTTAAGTTTCAATAAAAGTTTCATAAACATATTATTATGTGTTTCACTGCTATTGTTTATTATGTTTCAAAAATTTGCTAATCAACTCACAAGTTATTTAGTGTCAAGCACCGTACTCCATAGACACCCACCCTAACACCAGCACCACCACCACCCCTGCCCCCCGGGTTACATAAAACTGTCGACTTAGTTTCACTGAAAAAACGGTCATCTAAATCAGCTCATGTCAAATATAGACAAGATCGCGCGCCACCTAGTAATGCGAGTTCACGACAACAGATGCTGCCTGTAATTAAACTATAGTACCATAAATAAATAAATAATATTAAATAACTGGGAACAAATCATGCAAGGTCGTTCGGCCCCAATTTAGGATTCCCTGTACTATGGGGGTAGCCATGACCAGAGACTGATAAATATACAGTTACTTATAACACGATACTTTTATAACGCATTTTCAATTTATGCGATTTCAGTCCCTCGTATAACACGGGTATTCCTCCATATAACGCTGGGATTTCTCACGTTATACTTCTGTATGTGCTGTGAAATTCATAATAATTTATACATTTGATAATTAATTTCGCGTACCTTCGCACATTCTGTCAATTTTTTTGTTATAAAATTAAATTAATTTATTAAATTTGTGTTCCTAGTTTTTGAATTGTAAAAACATCGGTTATATTGTATTATATTTTAACGCGTTATATTGGATCGCACAAGCGCGTTATGCGAGAATACAACAACGCGTTTCCTAAAACGCGAAACCAATCTACCTTGTTATAGGGGGGACTAGTATACTTATATTTGTTTGTTGAGACAAAGAGCAAACAAACGCTCATCACACAATGTTTCCCCATGTGGGAGTCGAACCCACGACCCTCGGCACAACGGTCAGGGCTTCTAACTACTGGACTACTGAGTAAAATATAATTGACATCTAAAATGTTTTCTAGTTTTCGTAAGCGCGAGGTCCATGCCCATCAAGTACGTGCACCAGATTAATTTAGTCCTTAACAATTTAATTCTAAAGAACCATTGACCGCCAACAATAAAGACTTAATAATCCTAATTTAAAAGACAGTCCTCCGGTTTGGTTGAAATAATCTAAGTATGTCGTAAGTAATTAAACTATTTTTTTTTTATTACTTAGATGGGTGGACGAGCTCACAGCCCACCTGATATTAAGTGGTTACTGGAGCCCATAGACATCTTCAACGTAAATGCGCCACCCACCTTGAGATATAAGTTCTAAGGTCTGAGTATAGTTACAACGGCTGCCCCACCCTTCAAACCGAAAGGCATTACTGCTTCACGGCAGAAATAGGCGGGGCGGTGGTACCTACCCGTGCGGACTCACAAGAGGTCCTACCACCAGTGAATACTTAGTAACTTAAATACAAACAATATTCTATTAAATTACAAACAGCCCACGCAAAAACGAAACAGCTAGTCATTACATTGGAGCCCTAAGGGAATTAATCACTAGATCAAACCCGGTTTTTTTTTTGGTTTTTCCCAGCAAACGTATTTTTTGTGTATTCAATTTTAAGAGGTTTTTTATGTGTAACTAATTGCTATATCTCAAATTACAAAGCTAACCACAGAGGTAAGTTAGGTTTGTATTACGAATACACTTGCGGTCAGTTTTCTATTTTTATCACTGTTTATTCTAACATCTATACATACTTCCCTAGCTTAACCTTTAATAAGGTACTTTTGAGACGTGAGTAGCGCTACGATTCAGAAACAATTTATTTATTTTATTTATTTATTTAATAAACAATGTTTCAACAGCATTTAACTAGACACAGGGTACAGAGGATGTTTTCCCAAACATGAGACAATTGAAGAAACACATTATGTTTCCAAAAAATTTTAACATAATTAATGAACACAGGTAGTTCAACTAAGGTAAGACAGTTAAATAGGTAGATTAACTTTGTCGAATGATAACTTGCAGAATAAGTTTGATCTGATTGTGTTGTGTCGATGTGTGTAAGTGCGTGTGAGTGTATGAAGTGGTTGGTTTACATGGACGCTCGAATTGATTATGAACGTTGATTGTTAATTGTAGAACACCCAAAATACTTTAAAGATTATTATTTATTAAATATTTTAAAGATTCAGACACTAACAAACCTTTAGCTTAACTTTTTTTTCTTTTTTTTTTTATTGCCCTTGTAGGCAGACGAGCATACGGCCCACCTGATGGTGAGTGGTTACCGTCGCCCATGGACTTCAGCAATGCCAGGGGCAGAGCCAAGCCGCTGCCTACCGCTTAATACTCTCCACAAGCCTCGTTTGAAGAAGGACATGTCATACCGCTCGGGAAACACCGTGGAAGGGAGCTTAACTTAACTTAAGCTTATGAACTGCAGCTTTGAACATAGTTTTGGATGTTGTAAAGATATCAATATCTGAATAAAACTTATTGTAGGTCTTTGGTAATCTAATAGACATATCATTAGCCGCGTAGTTAGTGCGCTCTAACGGTATATGAAAAAGATGCGTGTGACGAGTTCTTTTACCAGGGGCATTCAAGTTGAGTATTCTATTTGACAGTTCAACACAATCTAGCTTTCCAGAACATATATCATGAAATACAGCCATGTCTTGCATCTCACGTCTCTCAGCCAGAGTTATGAGGCTGTGTTTTTGGCATGACTCAGTGTAGCCATCAATTTTTAATTTGCTTTTGAAATTCAAATATTTGACAAATTTAATTTAACTGATAAGTGTGTATGTAAACAATAAGAAATATTGATGTATTTTTTTATTGCTGGAGATAGCGTATTGCTGTAGGTGAGCACAAGGTACTGGTGGCATTAAGTGATAACGTGAAAATAAAGACCAAATACAAAATACCAAATACATACAATACAATACCAGTACAAGGACCAAATACAAAATACCGCTTAATTATTGTAAAGCGGCCGTCCCGTCCATCATACGGGACCGCGTGATTGCTTCGGAGGAACAACATTCGAGAGACGCTTATGAGCCACTCGTAATAGAATTTACCACTGGACAAGACGATATGATGATGGCACTATGCTGAAATAATACTCGGATAGTGCCTAGTCATCTTCTACTGGAACAAATGTTCACGATTGACTTCCACGGTGAAGGAATAACATTGTGTAACAAAAATCGAACCCGCAAAATTATAATTTGCGTAATTACTGGTGGTAGGACCTCTTGTGAGTCCGCGCCGGTAGGTACCACCACCCTGCCTATTTCTGCCGTGAAGCAGTAATGCGTTTCGGTTTGAAGGGCGGGGCAGCCGTTGTAATTATACTGAGACCTTAGAACTGATATCTCAATGTGGGTGGCGCATTTACGTCGTAGATATCTATGAGCTCCAATAAACACTTAACACTAGGTGGGCTGTGAGTTAGTCCACCCATCTAAACTATAAAAAAAAACAGAATGGATACTCCTAGAACAGACCCCATACCTTCTTCTTAGTCCGACATTCTTGTTAGGTTGGTCTGGGATGAGCATACATTAGGTCGGTTGCTTTCCTTAAATCACACAGTAACTGCCTATATCGTTACGGGAGAGTCGCTGCAAGCTTTCGGCCATCAATTGGTTCAATAACCCCCGCTACATAATATTGATATAATTGAGAGTTGAACTTATGGCACAATGGCAATGGCACTCAGTGGCATTATCCACGTTTGGCGTTAACGAACTCAAGCTTATAACAAAACAGATCTTAGGACTTCTTCTAGTCTGTGACGCGTCAACAGGCGGCTTCTAATCCAAATATCTCAGAGACATCGCGATCGATTCAAATTACAAAATGATAGCCGGTCCACATACCTATAGACAGCATGTTATTGATTAAGACAGGCGTTCAATGCAGATGATTCTGAGCCGCCACAATCGAGATTGTTTCCCGAATTAATCATGAACACGTTCGCCTGACTGACTTCCCACATACTATAATCGAGACAATATGAGTGTATTG